TGTGTGTGTGTGTACTCGTGATGGAACACCAAACCAATGTGCCAGGATCTGGACAATAAAGATGTATCTTATCTTATCTTATCTTAATGTTTGTGAGATTGTGGAAAAGTTGGCGGGATCGTGTCAAAGATTGTGAGATCGTGTCAAAGTTTGTGGAATCGTGTCAAAGTTCGTGAGATTGTGGAAAAGTTGGCGAGATGGTGTCGAAGTTTGTAAGATTGTATCGAAGATTGTGCAACCTCTTGTTGAGATACTATACTATATTATATAATAATAGTCCGTTCACTTTCTTATGCTCACGGGTTCTTGCAATTTTCTTTTAAATTGTCTGCTGTAAGTTGTGTTGCCCTGGTTTTTTAACGTTTTATGCTTTGACTTTGACGGACCTTAAGATTTTCATGTTTTCACGCAAAACGGTTTATTCAAAGCATCGAATTCCTTTGATTTTGGAATACAAGATTCCTGACCTATAAATTCAATTTTTTTGCACCGAAGATATAATTTAGCCATTGAAAAGTTAGCGGAGACAATGAGGGCACTGGTGAGAAATCGTCATTATTGTTAAACCCAGTGACCTCCATGGCGCAAACCATACTAAATTTTGTACTTTCAAGCAAGGTCTTTATTTATAACAAACGCAGATGCAAATTGTGTAACGCTTCGATTTTTAGCAGGACAAAAAAATATTTCTAAGGAACTGTTGCATTTCAGACCCATGTGCAATTCCTCTTGCTTTTATTCAAAATTATTAACTCACAGAGATGCAAATGTAGGCATGAGAAGGTGAACTGACCATACTAATAATTTTAAGGACGTCCTCAAATTTCGGGTGGCAGTACCTTTATTCCTATATGCTGGACACATTTCTAGGGAGTAGCTTATCAGGCGCATCTTGTATACATGTACACACAGTTGGAACGAGGATTGTTTTTATTATGCTGTTGTTCAGTGGCGTGGCTCTCCAAGCACAAATGGCGCCATGGCGCCACCCTTGGAAATGAAGAAGGGATTTTCAAAAAGGGAGTGTATACAGACCCGGTAACCGGGAACAAAGTCACAAAGTATACAGACCGGGTAGGGGAACTCTTTTGAGATTTCGGAAAGTTTCAGCGCCTGTTGGCTTAGGGAAGACCTAGGTTCTTCTAGATCTATGGCCCAGGTCTAGATCTAGATAGACAGACATTATAAATCATTGATCTAGTTTCGAGGCTAGCCTAGATCTAGATCTAGCCTAGATTTAGATCTAAATGAAGATTGCGGATGTCTTTTCGATGAACGATTGTTTTTCCTCCGTTTTGGAGTTGGAGGAATCACAATTTGAA